TATATAAAAAAAAATTTCGCGTTATTTTATTTAACATAAGTTTATATATTTTTAAATTTATAGCCAATCAAATTAAATCAGCAGATATGGTTTTCTTTTTATTAGTGATACGCAAATTTACTTAGTAATACTTAGTAAAAATTTTTACGATAATTAAACGTTCCGATTTATCACAATCGAAATTCCATTAAAACTTTATTTTTATATAATAGAAAATTATACTACAATTCATTAATTATTATTTATTGTGGGAACTAATGCTCCATTTTTACATTTTTTGAGTTCCTCTTCAGAACTTTCAGTCGAATCTTCAGATGAAACTTTTATATCTTCATCTGAGAATTCTTCTTTCTCAGATATTTCCTCCGATTCTTCATCTGAAAACTCTTGTTCATTCGTTACTTCTCCATCTAAGTTCTGATTGTGTTCATTGGATAAATATTTAAGGCAAATGTCCTTTATTGACTCGAGATTTTCTTTAAATTTTTGACGAAATTTCAAAAACCCGGTTACTGCCTTAAATAAAGAATCGGAACTATCATTTATCGAAATTTTAATTTTGTCGAAAAGACGCCATCGGCAAAGTGGATGCGCGTACAAATCTAACTCATAGATACATGCCACACTCTCTAAATGTTGAAAGTGTAATATTAAGACCTTGTGTAAAGCATAAAAAATATGCAATAATACTAACCGAAAAAATGGACCGTAAAAATGGAAAACCCATCACTGGAATACTTTTCTCGTATATAATTGTATGCATCTTTGGAAAGTAAAATTAGTTTTGTGTAGTCATCTTTTTCATGTTTTAGGGAAGCACTTGTGGGTTCGAAAGGACCAGAAGATACTTCCGCAAAAAATATTTCTAAGAGATGGTTCATTATACGAAGATATCCTTTAATATCTGGCTTCTTATCCGGTCCCTTCCTTGAATTACGATTTCGAGTACTCTCACTGGAACTATAATCCCTTTACATATAATATTCGTAATAAGAACGAATTTGAGAAAAATCCTGACAAACAAAATTTTTTACCATTCTACAGCAAATTCATCAATATCGTTCTCTTCACGTCATTTATAAGGTCATGCTTCCACGTGGATTCCATGACTCGCTTATTTTCTCTCTGGTATAAAAAATTTTTTCTGATAGCCATATGAAGGAAAAAAGGGTAATACTGAAATAATGACCGAAACAGCAAACAGTGACATATTTGTATGTCATATAGAAGAATTACATATATTGAGAAATCAGATTGAAAACAAACACCTGAAGAAAGGAATAAAAACCACTGCAGTAACAAGAATGCACATAGACAAAATAGAAGATGCTGAATTTGATAATTTAGGGAGAATTACTAAGGCATGAAAAATTAAAAATGTGAATATACAAAGTTAGGAGACAACCATATATTAAAATGAAGACATTTTGTTTAAGTGAGAGGGAACTGTTACAGAATAAAAATATCATGATAATATAATATTGAAAGCACTTGCAATAATTTATAATAACCTTTAAAACAATATTTAAAATTTAATTAATGAATATTAGTTCATGTAACAAATAGTGACAATGTAATAATTCCTTTTAGTAAATATTTATAATCTGTAGTACACATTAATTAGTCGCAAAATAGTAGTACAAGATCACGTGTTCACGTGATATTTAGTTATACAAACATAACTATCAATTCATAACATTAATTATTATCAAATAACATTATTTAACAATAATTATTAATATATAGTATTAATTAGTAACAAATATATTTAGTAAAAAATAGTAACCAATAATAATAGTGCACAGTAAGGCACAGTAGGCACAGCAATTAGGGTTAGAAATCGTCTTAATATTTAGACTCGATTAATCGTCACGAATAATCGACGAATAATCACGAATAATTGTTAATTATTCACGATTATTTAGCAATTATTCAACGATTATTTGGCGATTATTCAACAATTATTCAAGAATTATTCACAATTATTCAACGATTATTCACGATTATTTAACGATTATTCAACGATTATTCAATGATTATTTGACAATTATTCGACAATTATTCAACGATTATTCGACGATTATTCATGATTATTCAACAATTATTCATGATTATTCAATGATTATTCACAAATATTCAATGATTATTTACAGATTTTTACATGGTTTTTTTACAATTGTTTTTCTTTAAACTGAGCGATCGCCACGAATATAAAAGTTACAGGGATGAAATACATATCTTTTTGTAGCTAAGAACGATGCCGATCTATCTATCTTAGAAATACCTTAGTAAAAA